AAAAAAACAAACATTCAAAATATGAATAAATGCTATAATAATAGTATATAAATAATGCTAAAACAGTACTAATATGGGTTTGGAAACTGTGACATTGACTTTATTTACATTTTTGAGTGAACTCATACATGTTAAAAGCTGTTGCATAATTATTTGTTTATATAATGTTTATTTTCTGGCTTAATTACACCAGAAATTATTTGTATAAATATATCAATTTCAGTGTTTCCTCTAGGATTTTTTCCAGCTGTGGTGGCAGGACTGTTTCCCATGAACCAAGTCCACTTCCCCCTGGTGCTTAAACCCCACCCATGGATCGCATGCACTCAAACTCAGAATTACATTTAATTGAACTAAAAAAGACAAAGAACAATTAAATGACAAGCAATAGCACAAACAAAAACCATAAGTTACAAATGAAATTAACAGTACTTTAAGTTTTTCAGGTAGGTGTAAGAATAATATTTCAGTACAGAATTATTACAGAAACTGAATAATTTATTCAGCTGTAAAATAGCAATGCATAGTCTTCACTGTATAAATAAACAGTAATGACACAGACAACAGCAGGTTTATTTAGGCTGCTGTCTGTTTAAGACCTTGTGCACGGATCTAATATACTGTTACACGTGTGTTTTGCTTCTCAACGCTTTACATTCACTTAATACCCTATAATACCGACTGTTTTTATGTGAATACTCGCCAAGACAGGCATTTTGACATAATTTTGTATGTATTTGGCCGTTTGCGCACAATAAGTTGCAAAACATAACTCAATTCTGGTTCAATTTCACATCTTTTTACGCTTGAATTGCTTAAAGTCGCTTGAATGGCAAGACTTAAAAGCACGTACAAATGATACATTTCGTCATCTGTCATCAAGTTATAAGTGCGGAACATGCAGGAATGAGTAGAATTATGCACAATCCGGCGCCGAAATTCAAGCCCTGCTCCGTCTCCTCCGCTAATTCCTCGACTGTGAATGATGTGAGTGGCGTCACTGTGATGTGACGCCACTCACACCCGCCACGGCAGAACGAATGTAGCGGAAACACTGAATTTGTATAAGTAGACGATCAAAAACAACCCACACGAGAGCGATTAAGATTAAAGCTGATCCACTCTGTAGATATGCAGCAGCTAACCACCACAATAACCCATCTATTTAGATTACAGGTTAGTCAACATGTTTTTTAAAGTACTGTTCTTAACCTTTTACATTTGGTACCCAGAGTGTTGAATATCTGGTTATTTCTGAGCCATACTCAGCCTTACAGCATATGTAGGGAAATTGCAGTCAGATATGACATAATGGAGTGTTTTTGAATAATTACAGTAGTTTAAGGAGGTGTTACGGACTACAGAGTTACCTAATTAAATTCATTATTGTCCCTTTGCATCGAGTTGTTTATTGTAATGATGATGGAGCCCTGGCCCCATGTGGACTACATGTGGTCCATCTCAAGCTCTGTTCTCTCTTGGTCTAAAGAGAAGGGCAGGCATGCACCCCTTTCATCAGATGACGTTTTTCCTCACAGCTATCATTTGGACACAGCTTTTCCTAAAACACTGTTGATTATAAAAGTCTGTGATGAGTGCGGAAACGGACCGGAGACTTTTCGTTCGACTCTAAAATGATTGATCAGTTTAAGCTGCTGAGGCTGATGTTCGAGCTTTTTTGTTTTTAAGATGTTCGAGCTTTTTTGTTTGATTTCCATATTTTTGGTGCTT